GTCATGCCAGTATGTTTTGTTTATATTTTCTGTGTTGTTTTCATACAGCTTACATGGCTCCCGAGGTCATTACTATGGATAAGGGTGCAGGATATGGCAGAGCAGCAGATATATGGAGCATTGGGTGTGTTGTTGTTGAAATGGCTGCTGGGAAGGTATGACATACGAGATTAAATCACATTCTGAACTACTGTAACTGCCATATTGTGAACTAGCATAAAGGCCACTTTACTGTTGTCGTTGTCTAAAGCTCAAAATGTCAACCAGAATACAAGATTATTTTTTATCATTTTACTGCCGAATCACATTATAGAAGACAGAAAGCCAAGAGTAGAAAGAAGGGTGGAAGAAAGACACTTGCAGAGGAGACTACCTAGGATTAAGTTTGCAATTTAATTCAAAATAACTCAATGCTAGATGCATGTAAATCTGCAATATATCGTTCTTACTGAATACAGGTTTGCCTTTTGTTACCTCTAAAAATCCACAGTTTTGTTGTAAAAGGCTTCAGAAACTCAAAATATTCCAGTGAGTGAGTATATTGAAACTTGAAGTGCTAATATCATGGATGCCCTTGCTATTTCCCTTCAGCCTCCGTGGCATGACTGTGATAACAATTGGCAAATCATGTTCAGAGTGGGTGATGGTGCTACYCCAGCTATCCCAGAAACCCTTAGTGAGGAGGGACAGGATTTCCTGCAGCAGTGTTTTTTGCATGACCCACATGATCGGCCCACTGCCAGTGAACTYATGGACCACGCGTTCATCAAGGTATTGCTAGTACAGTACAGTTCTATTTGTATGGTATTTGCCTTTCCAAAGGGACTGTTGCCAAGTCAGAACCTGATAGCACTTGAAACAATCAAAGCGTTTAAATCTGTAAATGTATTTGACTTTGGAACAGCCTCCCAAAAAACATCATATTCTCACTTATTATCAGTTCAYGAAAATTGTCACTTGTTGGGTATTCCACCAAAAGGAGTCAAACTTACAAAACAATAATTTATTGCAGTAAGGTCTTTCATATGTGGAGGGGTAAGTATTTCCACGCTCATTTCAGACCTTTTTTGAACTTTTGAAAGGCCAATTGAACCAAGTTTTCGGAAAAAGAAACAACAATTAAGGGGCTGGGCTGGGCTGCCTGTTATTGGCCATTTTCAATGTACATGTAATTTTACRTTGCTATTGGATACTGGGTGCTAGCCGATAGTATCACATCAGCGAAAATAGAATGCAGATACTAAGTGGGGAAAAAGGAATGAAATGAAAATGAACTGGAATGACAAAGTAACCAAAAAAAACATACAAACAAAGCGTGCAGTATTAAAATTACAAGTGAAATGAATGCTCATAAATTATTTTGATATTGTTTTAAGTGTGTTGTTGTTGTTGATTTTCAAAAAATCCCACTAAAGTAATTGTTTTATTTATCTAGTGACGTCATTGTTTTATACTAGATGTCATTGTTTTATTTATCTAGTGACGTCATTGTTTTGTTTATCTAGTGACGTTATTGTTTTATACTAGATGTCATTGTTTTATTTATCTAGTAACATCATTGTTTTGTTTATCTAGTGACGTCATTGTTTTGTTTATCTAGTAACGTCATTGTTTTGTTTATCTAGTGACGTCATTGTTTTGTTTATCTAGTGTTGCTAGCTGTCGATATCCAACCAATCACGAGATGTGCAATGAGGCTCATAAAAGGCTTGGTACAAAATTGTGCATTACCCTAGATGCATGTCCTACAAAAGGAGACAATTGAGAACAAGCTGAGCGGACCTTCACAATAATGTCCCTGGTTCGTTTTCCCAACGAATCCTCAACATTATGATGTGTATTTTAGATCAGGCATGTTTATGAAATGTATTTTAATGATGTTTTTACAACAAAATTATTTTTTAACTCAGAGGTCTAGTGGAATTTCTTCAGCAAATTATTAAAAGTCATGCTGTAAGGTCTGGAAAGGTCAAGAAAGCCTCTAGTTGATTTTATCGTTATTTTAACTCTGCTTGTTTATAAAGATATCTAAGAAGCTTTCAGGTATTAGGTAGGTTAAAGTATAGGACTACAATAGTCCTTATAACAACAAGCCTTGSTGGTGACATCACACTGGGCGAGCCATTAGAATTTTGAGGAGAGATTTGGAAGATTTTGAAAACAAATAATGCTAGGGCAAAATCTTCCAACCAAAATTGTAATGGATCGCCTCTAATAGCTCAAATAATCCAACTTTGCATGTGTGAAAATCATAACTATGCAAGTATGCAAGTATTTATGATGCTAGCGACTTAACAAAATAGCAAATTAATTTTGCTAGCTGTTAAGTGAGAGAAACCTTACAGCAAGGAAAGTAGAGTGAAGACAAACAAAAAACAAAAAAAAACAAACCATCCTACGCTTTAATTGCATTGTTGTTTTTGTGTCTATTTCTGCCTATCACAGTTTAATAGACAAATTTTGTTTCATGGGATTAATGACTTCACTCTACACAATGATTGAAGGCATCTCAATTATTTGTAAATCACGCTGTTTATTC